CTACCAGGAGCTTCAGATGCGCATCTGATCAGGACTTCGCTCCCCACTACCATCACTTGTGTACAGAATACCTGGCCAGTATTCTGTCACAAGCAACTTCCAGGCTGGTAACTATAACAAATACACAGAACCTGAATGAATGTATGAATGAATGGTTATATATATATATCTATATATCTATATTTATATATAAAAGTGTATAAGGGTTGAGTAGTGATAGGAATAAGTAGTTAAACAACGTTGTTTGCTTCTATCTTTTCTTTATTTTTTTATTATTATCTTTACAATAAATGTGGCTTTTTGCCTTATCCCCCTCATAAGATCCTGCTTGCTTTTATTTGATATAACACAATGATGTGTATTTGTTATTCAATAAATTATGATAGCTGCTCTTGTGTACAAATTTTAAAACTACATTGTATCACAGCTATTATAGAACCAGTTAACATGTTTCTATCACTGGGGATTACACACTATCACAACATTGGAAAGAATTGCATGCCTTCAAAGAGCATTGGATTAGGCCCTGACTGAGGGTATGCCTACACTACAGAGTTTTTTCAGAATGGCCGTTTTCTGAAAAAACGTCATTTATGTCCACACTGCAATCACATTCTTTCAGAAAAAAATTGAAAGAACATCAGGGTGTTTTCAACATTGGCAAACCTCTTTCTGCAAGGAAGAAGCCTTTTTCCGAAAGAGCTCTTTTGGGAAAAGACATGCGTGGACAGGGAAGAGGGAGTTCTTTTGAAAGAAGAGGAAAGAGAAAAAAGCACAGGTGCCCTGGTGGCCACTCCATCCATAGTAATCACAGCTTATATGTGAGATAGCATCCATTCAATGTGGATGCTATCTTTTGAAAAAGCAGATTGCTTTTTCAGTGCGCTTTTGCTGTGTAGACGCTCTCTTTTGGAAAACGTTTTTTCAGAAGATCTCTTTCCAGAAAAGCTTCTTCTGAAAGAAGCCTGCAGTCTAGATGTAGCCTGAGGCAAGAATTCTGTGAATAAAATAGTGTATGATAATGTAATTAAAGGCTGTACGATAATGCATATGTACAAGGGAGAAAATTAAAGTTGCACAGGCAAGTTAGATGTGTCTTTTTCTAAGTTTTGAGTGTTTGACTTTGCTACTTTAATAGCATTTTGTTAACAGTTATTTTAAATGCAACATTATGACAACTTTCAATGTTTCAGTATTTGTTTCCATTCTACTTCACTTCTCAAATGTTTTCACAAAAAAGGACGTGTGTATGAGTATAGATACTGTAGTGGTGAAGGTACTCAGCTAGGATATGTGCGACTGAGGTTCAAGTTTCTGTTATGCTTGTTTTTTTAAGATGAAAAATTCAGGAAGAGCAGAGAATGTTCCACATCTGTGGTCAGTACGCTAAGTGTCATAGTGATTGCCTTTCACCTGAAGACCTTCCTAACAAAAGCTTTATGGAAACAGACCAGATAAAACTTTGTGGACCGGTTCTAGGAATAAGCTATCAAATCCTTTAATATATAATTTCTTGTCATATTTCAGGATTGCATATTTCACAGGAATATCACTGGTGACCTGAAAGCATTTATAGATAAATATGGTTTTGATGTTCTCGTCATTTTGGCTAACTATTTATCAGAAGAAGAGCAGACTAAACGACAAATAGCGGTGTACTCAGAAAACGTAGAGTTGTGCAATCAAGTAAGTACTGTAAAGAAAGAATAAAAATTTATTGATCCTGAACTGTGTGTGCTTGAAAACAGTTATTATATAATTTAATGGGTTAAATACCAAATAACCATTTCACATGTGATGATGTGGGTGCTATCATATTTTATCGTCACAGATTTGGAATGACTGCATTATTTATGTTTGCAATACTGCAGAAGCTCTGTTAGGCCCGGACTATGAGAGAGACAAGGTGGGTGTTGTATCTTTTATTGGACCATCTTCTGTTTATAGAAGCAGAGGTGATGTGTGTGTGGGGGGGGGAGGGGGGCATACATGTGGGTCATCCCCACCTTCTCTCTCTCCCCCCCACCCACTTTGCTGGTTGGCTTGTACTGAGCATGCTTAGACGGACTGAGCATGTTCATTAGCACTGCTGAAATGGCTGCCCTTATTCCCCCCATTATGGGCAAGCATGGATTGTCTTTGGTGGAAGAGGGATGCTTTTAAGCTTCACAGAGCTCTTCCCCAGACCTGTGCGTGTCCCTTCTATCAGTAGAAGTTGGTCCAATAAAAGATATTACTTCACCCACCTTATTTCTTGCATTATTTATATTATATAACAAAGCACTGCTGTAATTTTCAGTGTTCCAGAGCAGTCAAACATCAAGATTCCATGGGCAAAAGAAAGATAAAGGGAATATATAGATGACTTTTTATTTTAAAAAATGTTCAGTATTCTGTTTCCTGTATGCCTTTTACAAATTTTAGTCGGCTTTCCTAGAGTAGCAAACAAAAATCTGAGTTTATTTTAGAAGTGAAGAATTAATTGGAAAAGTCAACTTACAGCATTTCCAGTAAATATTTGTTAAATAATTAGCATTATGAACTGGCCTTCTTGAATTTAAGGGGGTTAGTGAGTTCAAAGTTCATTATAAAGACAGGTAAAGGGAGATAGCTGAGAAATCGATAGCCAAAAATAGGTAGGCAGTACTACTAATAGTATATGTGTCTAACTATCCTTTCAATAACTTTTTGAAACCCCTGTATTTTCAAACAGATTTGCTGTGAATTAGAAGAATGTCAGAATCCCTGCCTGGAGCTGGATCCTTTGGAATGTGGATGTGACCAGTTCCTTGTGTATCACCAAGACAATACTTTGGTGACCGGTGATCAAATTTTTCTAATAATTAAAGAAGTTATTAACAGGAGACAGCCAGAAATGGCACCAAACAGCAGAACTTCCTCTACTGAAGCGGTTGCTGGGAGTGCTCCACTTTCACAGGGATCTTCGGGTATCATGGAGCTATATGGTTCTGACATAGAACCACAGGCCAGTTCTGTCAACTTTATAGAAAATCCTCAAGATCTCAATGGATCAGTCCAAGCCCAGGTGGATGTTAATACAGATCTTGTGAGTCCAGACAGTGGCTTGGCTACCATTAGAAGCAGCCGGTCTTCTAAGGAGAGCTCAGTTTTTCTCAGTGATGATAGCCCAGTTGCAGAAGGTGCTCATCACAGTCTCCTTCCAGGTTTTGATTCTTATAGCCCCATTCCTGAAGGGGCAATACCAGAAGAACAACCACCTCAGTCTAGAAACAACAGTGATAACTTCGATCTTTTCAGTTTTGATCTAGCACCTAGGGTTACAATTCGATCTGAATCTTCTTCTCGTTCTGTTGATTATTCCCCAGCAGATGACTTCTTCCTGAATAGTGATTCATCAGAAGGACAGCCACCTATTGTGCAGAAAGAACTTGATGAGACAAATTTATCACAAAATGACATGGCTAATTATTCACCCGACTTACTAATGATTACAAATGAAGAAGACAATTTAGTAGAATTTGATGATGAATTTAGGCAAGAAAATCCTGGAGATTTGTCTGAAAAAACTTCAAGTTTGACTGATTTTGTGGAAGATGTTTCTTCTTCGCCTGAGGTGTTGAAAAATATTGAAACAAAAATTCCCCCAACTCCTATGAACAGTCTTGTGGAAAGTTCGCCATTAGATAATGGATCACCACTGTTTTTTTCACAAGATGTGATTAAAAAAATTAATGAAATAGATAGTGGAAACTATTCACAGTCACGTGAGAGGTATGGAAGCTGGTGGGATGGTTTTGAATTAGATTCTAAAAATGCTGATGGATGGAGTTCAAGTGAACAGGAATCTGTATTTCAAAGCCCTGATTCATGGAAAGACCGTAAAGCAAGCCCATTACTTCGGGAGCATGTTGATAGAAGAGCCTCAGATTCTGTGTTTCTTCAAAAACAACCAAGGCAGAGGAATTATTCAAGATCAGGCCTGTGGGAGAATCAGTTTAACCCTGTCCAAGATAAACATAAAGAGTTGCAGAAGAAAACCACTGAACTTTCACATGGGCAAAATACTTCTGCAGGGGAGAAAAAACAACAAATGGAGGCATTTACTGATTTGTGGAAGTCCAGTCAACTGACCCGAGTGATATCAGCTCCATGGTGTAACACTGAGAGTGAACAACTTGATGCAGAATCTTGCAATGTCTGGACAGAGTTTGAGCAAGAAGATGGCCCTAATCCCTCAGAAAATGTATGGTGTATGCCCAAACTGGACACAGATAAATCTTCAGTGAGGAGTCTTGACGCCTGGGCCATGTCCAAAACTGGTCTATCATATTCTTCAGAATTCACTGCAAAAAATGAGATTGAAAATCCAAACAATGAAGTGTCGCCAGAAGCCTGGAACAAAGGGAGAGTTTATCCAGCGGAAGAATACAGCACATTTGAAAATACAAAGTCCAATATTGACAGTGTGCAGAACAATTCTAATCTAGCCATAGAAAATCAAAATGGATTAGCTGACAGTGAATATGGACCAAAACAATTAGAAAATATGGATGTCTGGGGTCTGTATGAAAAAGACATAGAGAAAGAAGTATTGGAAACTCTGGTTCCATGGGACGATTCTGTTTTCTCATATAAATGCTCAGACTTTAGCTCATCAAATGTGGGTGAAGATTTAATTGTTTCTCCACCAGATACCAATTATTCAACATCTGATTCATACGTATCACCTACATTTATAGAGGATGACAGGGAAAAGGAGAACAATCGTTTTGACAGAGATACAATTTTTGATGAAGTGATTAATTCAAATTCAGATGAATCTAATATATTGGAGGAAACAGATAAGGAATTCTTACCACAACCATCCCTTAGAAGCATGCTGTTTCTAAGCTCAGGGAACACAGAAATGTGGAATATAGGTCTTAATAATGTCTGTCAGTTAAAAACAAAAAACTCTGAAATTACTGCTCTTCCAAACACTTGTACAGTCTCGCTGAATTCAGAACCAATAACCACTAAGTATTTTTCAGGCAATGAGAATAACAGTGAAAGTAATTCAAGTTTTGAGGACATTGGAGTCATGCAAGTGTATAATCAAACAGAAAATCACTTATCTCATCAACATGGTGAATTGAAAACCAAACCAACTGCATCTGAAAAAAATGTAGAAGTATGGAATAGGGTCATTCTTGAGGATACTCAAACTTCAGATATGGGTAAAGGTTTGGGCTTGAAAGCAAGTGACTTAAAAAATGAGGTTTCAGTCAACGGACAAGTACAAGGAAATGTTAATAAGGGCTCAGAGGTAAGACCTCAGCTTTCTGAAGAACAGTTGAATCAGCGCAATGTACACCTACAGCAGAATCATCAGGCAGGATGGGAGAATAATGCTATCTTGGGTACTTCTCAACAAGAAATAGATGAATATAAAAAAAAGGATGAGATGAGTGGACCGCTAACCATTAGCAATGTTTGGAACACAACCATGCAAGATAACAGAGTATTGCCATCAGTGTTATCCAAACTATCATATTCAGAAGACAATACAACAACATCTGAGGTTCCTAACTCACCAGAAAAAATAAGAAACATTTTCAAAGCTTTAGAAACAGAGAAATCAGAAATGAATATGCCCTCTTCTAGTCCGTCTAACCCTGTCAATCAGAAACAGGAGAAAGAACATTTACAGAACAATGCATATTCTTCTGCAACAAGTCCTGAGGAAGAAAGACATTCTGGGCATTTAGACTTATATAATCCACACAATTTCAGTCATAGTAATATATCACAGTCACTTCTTACAAATACTGATAAAGGAAGTGCCACTAGAGAGGGTGAAACAAGTCACAAGATGGAAAGTGCCTATGAAAGATCTAACAGAGACAAGGATAGCCAAGAAAATAATTCTCTTACCGTGCCTGAAAATCCAGATATCTGGAATGACTCTGCAAAGAATAGTTCCTGGTCAGTTGCATCAAGTCCTTTAATAAATGAAGCACCAGGGATGTTAAGAGAGTCTCAAGAGAGTTTATCTGAGGTACTTCCTAGCAATTTAGACAGCTGTAATTTTAAATTAGGTTTTTCTGAACATAGTCCAGAGATAATTGGTTCTCATGAAGCATCTTTCATTAGTGAAACTGTGCAGATTAAAATTAAAGTGAATCCCTCTTCTGAATCTGCTGAAGTGCCTGACAGTGCAAATAGGTCTATGACGGATAATTCATTATCACATGAAATGGATTCTGGGGAAAGTGATGCTTCTGAAAGTTTAGAAACTGCAAATAAACTTCCAGATGAGGAATATGTTGACATCACATCCCATCATGATTTTCCCCAAATTCTGGGTGATTGGAATCCATATATGTGTGAAGATACACAATCTCCTGTAACAAATCCTCAGACAAGTGAGGTTCTTGAAATGACAGACACCATAAGTAACCTTCTTGGAGATACACAAACCAAAAGTGATTGTGAAGAGGACAATGCATGGAGTGGTTCAACAAATGATTATATAGAATCCAGTGCCACAAGCCCTGATATAAGTGATGCCTCTGCAAATATTAATGTTTGGGAGAGCATGCCAGCTTCTAATCATAGAGAAAGAGAAGCTGTTTTAAATATAACCAATGATAACATAATAGAAAAAGCTCCGGAAAAAGGGGGCTTTGAGAATAAAAGTCAAGAAGAGTCTGAAGAGAGCACAGATCACAAAGTTCCTAAAAATTTAGGTCTTTGGAATGCACATGTAGATGACGATACAGTATCTTCTTTATCAAGTCCTGAAGCAAATGAGGATTCTGAAAATTCAGAGGCACCTCAGGCAGTGATAGAGGTAGAATCCAACCATCAAGCCAATGAGCACATATATGAAACCAAAGAACATGATTATGCACTATCCAGTGAAGTGAGTTCTGAAGACAGTTTAGATGATGAAACTGAACTGGAGAAAGAGGTTCAGATGGCCATCTTAAATAAAAACTCTGAAAATATAAAAGCTTTGAATATATCAAAGGAAGAGGATATTATGCACTTAAACACAACTGACCATAATACATATGAAGCTTCTGAATATTTAGATGACTGTCAGGGAGAATTTCAAGTGAATACCTTCCATGAAAATCATGACCATCCGCGTGTTTGGAATTCCCCAACTTCAGCAGTAGGGCATAATGAAGAATATTCTTCAGAGAATTCAGATACATGGACTATATCATTGCAAGTTGCTTCTGAAACAGATCAAAGGTTCACTATGGAAACATTTGGATTCCCAGATGACAATTCAGAATGGTGGAATTCAGAAATGCATAAAGGCAAATCAATTGAAGATCAATATTCTAATTCAGATGGTGGTTTAGAAATTAACCAGTCAGAAAACATTAATGCCTGGGGAGCACCAATACAAAATAAAGAACTAAAAGGTGCATATTCTACTCATCCTGGTATCCATACAAATCAGTCTCTCCCTCTGTGCTTTAATGAAGAGAAATATGAAAGTATAATGCACTCCAAGTATATTTACAAGGGTCAAATTGACCCAGATATTGTACAGATTAAGCAGTCTGATCCACTGGCACTGGGTGAAAAAGAAAGGGATTTAAAAGATCAGCCTTTTGTCACAGTTGATGGAGATCAAGATATCTCTAAAAATCCCTTTTCAGAAAAGTGGCAACCAGATATGCCAAACACATCAACTCAGACAAACCTAACACTTGATCTTTCAAGCGACCACGTGGATGTAATAACTAGCACTTCAAATAAAGATCAGTTTGTTCAAGAACAATGGAATACCAGTGAAACTTTAGAATTATGCAGCTCTCCACAAAATGCTTTTACTGAAAATCACTCATCCCAAAAAATGATAGGAAAGTTGAGCCTGGGATGGAATGAGTTAGCTGACGTTCCCCAAACCACATTTTCCCCATGTATAGTACAGCACAAGACTCAGGAAAGAAATCAACTATTCTCAGGAGATCCTGATTTGTGGACTGACCCTGAGCAGCTTTTCATTTTGAAAGCGGATGGTGGACATCCTGATATATTAAGTCACTGTGACCAAGACAGCAGTTCACAAGCCTCAAACAGTCCTGATATATGCCAAGAATATGAAGCTAAGCATGCATCTTCCCCATCTATTCATGCTTTGGCCAAGGCTGGAGAAGTTAGTCAGTTACTTCTCCCAATGCCAAATATAAGCAAAGAAGCAGATTTTGATTTTAAACAGCAATTAGTAACTCACAAAGTAGAGACACATCTTGATATAAATAGTCCAGAAAATAATGATGGAACACAGGTTGATTCGCTAATCTCTTCTAAAGCTCATGGACCGTCTGAATGCAGAAAAGAAAATACGTTGAAAGAATCTGACCAAGAAAAGAAACCAGCTGTTGAACTAGTGGATTCAATAGGCTCCTCTGCTGAAGATTTGGGAATAGCTTCCTTAAATCTTAAAGACACTAGTTATGAAAGTAATATTCTTGCCGCTTCAGCCAGTGTAGTTAGCACCCAGAAACATTTAGTTGACACTGTTTTCTTTCCCCTAGATAATTTGGAACAAAACAGAAAAGATACTCATATCTCAGCTGACACTGGGCAAATTTCAGTTATTGACCATACAACAGCGAGTGCTGATGAAGTAAAAATATCAGACATGTGTGTTGATGGGAATGAGACGGGTAGAGAAAATAGCTCCAGTATGTCAGTCACCAACATTCCATCATTAGGTGAAGTGAGCAAACTGACAGTATTCAACAGCAAACAAAAAGTAGCAGTAGAAAGAGATGCAGTTGAGAAACAAACATTCTTCTTAGAACCCTCATTGGATAGTAATGATAGAGATGCTATAGTTAGTCAGCATGCAGACAATGTAGTAAGAAAACCTGAAAATTTACTTGACAGTCATGATCGTTGGTTGAAAGGATCACTTAATGAACAGTCACCAGCGGTGTACTCTCCTCCATCTGATGTATCATTTAATACAAAAGCCACTGGCAGTGAAGAGGGAAGAAGAGTAAAGCAGGAGTTTTCTGACAATATTTTTGTGGAAATGCCATTAGCTCCACTTAATCCTCAAAAAGAAGAAATGAGCTTTTTGGAGACAAAAGACAGCAATACCAGAGATCAGTCATTTGATACATTTACAGAGTGCTATACATTGGGATATTTACCAATAGAGTCTGAAGTGATGTCTGAATCCTCCGAGAAAGGGGTTTTAGAACATGAGATGGAAAAAAGTAATATCGATTCACCAGCAGGTGGGGCTACAGGATCACCCAATGGTAAGAAATTCTGAACTGTCTAATAAAATAAGTTCATTGAACAAAGTATTAAATGTCAGAGAAAGTGTATTGCTATTGTTGCTGACTAATAAGATATAATATAGCAGCTGAATAGTGAGACTTTAACTAAGTGGTATTTGGAATGCTTGTGTCTTCCTGAAACTCTGGACCTTGAAAAGATCTGTATTCTCTTCATTGTAGTTAGATCAAAAAATAAAACTTGGATGAAGGGGGAGTCATTTACTACATCTTTGAATAATGCCTAGTATAAAGGACTCCAGCTTCACTGGCCTCTAGGCACTATCACAATATAAAATAAAATAAAAACTAGTAAGAATAATATATAATTCGAGAATAAATTAAAACAGCAGAAAAGCTATCAAAAACAAATAAAAATGGGTTTATTTTGTAGGACTCATTTGAAAAACCATAATCACTAATTGCTAAAAATAAAGTACTGTTTGTTTTTAATTTTAGAAGTCACCATTTATACTGGGGAGAAGGAAATAAATTCCACTGAGAGCCCTGAACTGAGGACACAGGTGAACAAAGATCAGACTACACTAGAGATGGATTACATCCTTGTTACTGCTGAAGAAAATAGATCTGTGAAGAAGGATATTCTTGAAACAAAGGAAAGCGATTTTGCATTTCAAGAAGCTCATGTGGCTGAACAGACAGAGTCTCAGGAAGCCTTTTCAGCAGGCTCCTCAGATACATTTCAGTCAATCTCCATAATAAATGGAAGTAAAGGCCAGTCTTTTCTGAGTACTGAATGGGATTCTTTTCATTTAGCAGAGAAAAGTCCTTCTGTTTTGCCTCAAAGACTGGATGCTGAAAAGAGATCCCCTGAAAGCCCAGGGCAAGACCATAGTTGGACAGTGCTAGGCCAAAATGAAGTCAGCGATATATCACCTGAAGAAATTTCCAGCAGGACAGAGACAGTGGACTCAGGGTCTGGACATTCTGTCAAAGAATTGGAAACAGTTTTCGACCAGGAAATTATCCATGACACACAAGTAGGAGTTGAACTAGAAAAACCCCCTCATAAACCATATGAACAAGAAGAATACTCTCCCTTAGACAGTCCAGAGAGGAAAGACAAGAATTCAGGCATCGTAAGGACAGATGCTCTTTCATTACAGGTTGTTGGTGGTCATGGCAAATGGGATGCACATTTGCAGCATTATCCTGGAGATGGCATGGCAACCGAACAAGAAATGGAGGAGGAAACAGAGTTTCTCAGTGGTGAAAGAGAACTCAGTCGAGTCTCAGGGTAAGGAAACGCCCACACATTGTTTATGAGAATCTTCTAGAAAACTATGTTCAGTGTTATTTAAGTAGTTGGGGGGTATGTAAAGGGAACAGCATTCAGAAATAAAGCATGAGTTGTATTTGCAGGATCTGAGTGTGGCAGAATCCCTCCCTTTGTAACAAACAGAACCCACTTTGTAATAGCCCAAAGTGGGACCATTTATAATTGTTTTAAGATTTTGGAGAGGATTATAGGAACCGCAGTAGTTGCCCTTCCCTCATAGGGATAATTCCAACCCCAGTCCAAGTCCCCCCCGGTAGTCTGAATCTGTAGCGTAGAGTGGTGAGAACAGGAGTAGGAGCTGCTATAGCCAGCAGAGAGCTGGGAGGAGAGCATCAAGCCCCATCAGACTGAATGTACTGCAATATAAAAGAGAGGTAGAGTAAAGGATGATTTCCATCATTTTGTGAAGAGAGAGGAAGGGCTGGAGGAGAAGACAGAGGCTAGACAGACACAATCCCTGCATTTCTTCTGCCTTTTTGGCAGTAGAGGAAAGGGCTGTCCTTCTGTAGGAAGTGAAAAGCAATTCTCCTTCCATGCAGAGGAAAGGGAGTGGGGGAGTTCAAAGTTCATGTCCATAGTTCTAAGATCCAGTGTAATGAGCTGCAGTACTCCCTTCCTGTGTGTTTCTTCCCACTGTGAATGGAATGACAGCTGAGGAAATACGAAAACTATGTTTGTTGCATACAGCCATTTGTGTCTACCAGAGATCCCTCCCCACTCCTTGATGGGTATTACTGCAGTATTTGAGGTGTCAGGGGTTGGAGGTAATTCACCTGTACATCTGCTCCATAACTGTCTTTAGTGTATTTGTGCCTATTCCCTGCCCCACCGCTGCTAAAGAGTTTGCTTTCCTCCTGCTCCTGCCATGATGGAATCGTGGGCTCTCTTTCTGATGTCTGAGAAATAGATGGGACTAATTCCTGTTAGAGTCCTCTTTGTACTCTACACTTTTAAAACAATAGTCCTATAACCTGACCATCACGTTCCACGAGGAGCAATGGTAGTTCGAATTAGAGATCCTAATTTGAACTACCTACTCTGTGCCACGTGTAGCCACGGGCACGGAGTCCGCACTAAGGGGGATTTAAAAATGGCGGCGCCCGGGAACATGCAAATGAAGGCCAGGATATTTAAATCCCGAGCTTCATTTGCAACCCTGGTTGACCTCATTTGCCTACCTAGCTCGAACCAACGAGCGAGTGTAGACATACCCTAACTTTAAAAACAACGGGTAGTCCTGTGGCACATTAGAGACTAACAAAAATATATAGTATCATGAGCTTTCGTGGGTAAAACCCACTTCATCAGATGAGCTGGAACTCATCACTCCAGCTAATCTGATGAAGTGGGTTTTACCCACAAAAGCTCATGATATCACAGGTTTAAACTCTCTAAGCTAGGACTCGGCACAGTCCGACATCCATGTCCGGCACAGATGCTGCAGGACCAGAGTCCCGATGGAGGGCCAGCTGCAGAGAGCTCTGATGGGGCTGGCAGGGCAGATGCTGCCTGCAGTGAGTTGCCAGCAGGAACATCCAGCATGCAGCAGCAAGGCTGGGACACCCAGCACGTGGGTCTGGGAGCCACAGAGCGGGAGCAGTGGTGGTGGCCCAGTGGGGCCAGGAGCCATGTTGTGCAGCTGCAGCAGTGGTCAGGGCTGGCAGCAGATAGGGAGCTGACCAGGCCAGTCCAGGGCTGAGGGGGCCAGAAATGACCTCAACTGGTTTGACAAACTCATCTGGGATTGGTAGGTCCCAAGGGGATCTGACCAGGAAGATCCAACCTGCATATATTTTTGCCTGTCTGCAGTAGCAGTTTCCACCTACAGTGCTGCTGGCTCATGATACAATGTCAGGGCTGGCAGCAGATAGGGAGCTGACCAGGCCAGTCCAGGGCTGAGGGGGCCAGAAATGACCTCAACTGGTTTGACAAACTCATCTGGGATTGGTAGGTCCCAAGGGGATCTGACCAGGAAGATCCAACCTGCATATATTTTTGCCTGTCTGCAGTAGCAGTTTCCACCTACAGTGCTGCTGGCTCATGATACAATGTGGCTATCATAGTTTTTCTAGCGTGACCCTTAGAGATGTGAAAGGTTAACCAGAGCAGCCTTTACCCCCATTCATTCATAATTAACCGTTTAAACATAATGTTTAGCCAGTTAATGAATTAATCTGGATTTTACATCCCTAGTGGCCACACCCTATAATATGAGTCTGCTCTCCCCCTCTGACTTTGTAGAGCAGGCATGTCAAACTGGCATTTGGGAGGCCGCATGCGGCCCGATCGAAATTTTTTGCGCTCCCCCAGAACATTTTTATAAAAGAATGAAGTGAGGCCCGCTGGCCACTCGGAGCACATGGCCAAGTGCCTGCTCACAGCTGGCCGGGCCGCTCTGCACTGCAACAGCTGCTCACGGTTGGCTGGGTGCTCTGCGCTGGGCTCTCCAGCAGGCGCGCACAGCCGGCCGTTGTGCTCACACCACCACAGCTCCTCAGGCAGCCACGTCAACTCCGGGACCCAGATATTAGGTTGGGGGTGGGGGGGAGTTAGGAGTCCCTGGCTCTGGGGGAGGCATTAGGTTGGGAGGGCCTGGCTCTGGGAATGGGGGAGGGGTTAGGTTAGGAGGGCTGGGAGTGCCTGGCTCTGGGAAAGGGAGGAGGCATTAGGTGGGGGTGCCTGGCTCTGTGGGAGAAGAAGGGATTATTTTGTTAATATTTTGTTATTTATTATTTCTTCCCAAATAAAATCACAACATGTATATTAATTTTATATCAATAAATATATGTCAAATTTTTGAAACTGCATGAATAATTATACGTTTATGCAAAATCTCAAACTTACAAAGTATCTGAAATTTTCACAGAACTGTGTTTTCTGTTTGATTAACCATGGTCTATACTTGCTTTTATTTCAACAAAACAAGTTATGTATCATATAAAAAATTAAAAAGTACCCTAAATTTATATTTAAATTAAAATTTATTTTATATGAGCAAATAACAATTTTACACATACAATTATTGTATTATGTTAAAACAAGGCCTGAAATAATATTATAAAATATACCGAAAACATAATCTATAATAATAAATAATTACAACTTTCTGAAAAAGTACATTTTCTTTGGTGGCCCTGAAAGCTATCAGTTTTCATTTGTGCGGCCCTCAGTAGGCTTCGAGTTTGACATGCCCGCTGTAGATCCTTTAATACTAAATGTATTACTGCAGACTGTATTCTACATTAATTCCTTATCTCTTTGTAAAGAGAAGAACTGGATTGACATAGTATGGCCCAGATCAGAATGTTGACTAAAACATATGAGAGATAAGTAGCTATTTTTGTAAGGGCCTGAATTCCCCACATAGCGTGGTGCTTTTAACAGGAGACTTACTTTTTTTTAACCTCATGTCATTAATACTGGCAGTGTCGTCTTTTCCCTTTTTGCCTAGCAGGACGCTTCATCAAAGATGAAAGCATCTTTGTAGGTTGTCATGAAGTGTTTCCCTTAGCTCTGTGGATGTTAATATTTTAATTAGGCAATTCATTATGGTGGTAACTAGCTTTCCAACCAGCCATTTTTATATGTTTACTCACTTTTGCAAATTATGTTACTTGAATTCCTTATTGAAGAAATAAATCTCAACAGATAAGAATCCTTTTTAAAAAATCATTTGAGCTTTCATGACATAATGGTGATTTCTTCCCCTGCAATTTTAGGCATCTTAACATTCTGTGGAGAATCTCACCAGAAAGCAAGCAAGATGCTGAGATGAAACATTTAAGAATCAAGTTGCCCCTGAGCACAGAACAGAAAACTGCACAGATTCTTGACTTGACAGTTTCTAAGTGATTATTTTATTAAGGGGAGTGAATGGGAAGGGGGGGGGGGGGGGGGGGTGTGGGGTGGGTGGGGT